AGAGTAAATATATCAATTCTTATTATATGCAATGGTTCTTATATTGCATCACCTACTAACAGTTTTTTCATTGGTCTAGGGTTGATATATCTGGCATGTTTTACATTTATGAACACGTTCAATTTCACTACTCATGTTTGGCCAGTATAAGACTTTCTGAGCCTGCTTTTTGTATTTTTCAAGACCCAAATGACCCTCATGAATCCTATCATCTAGTTTCTCTTAGCAATTTGGGATGTATTATCCAGTAACATATTGAAACCCACCCACCCATGTTCTGTTACTAAAGGTTCTGCCAATAATGCATGAAACAGAACATAGGAACAATATACTGGCCAGCTATAGCGGTGACTGTATTAACTCTGAGCAACACAAATTGCCTAAACAAATTTAAACCTACTTCAAATATGACAGAGTAGTTTGGCCTTATCTCATGGATATTATATGTAAGAATCAATTAATTTGGTCAACTGCCCTCTGGAAAGTTCCACAATCATTAAGCTTTCCCAGAGTTAAAGTTCAGCTCCTGCAATTGCAACTGAGAACATTCTCTGAAATCTGAGATATATTCTAGCTAGCCATTTTCTAACCATAGCTACCAAAGGCTTGGTGTGGCCATTTTCAAACTTGAATATATAAAAAGTTGACTACCCAAACATAATACTTTTTCCATCCATAGAGCGAGCTTGAACATTTTTGTCCATGTTTCTGTATTTGTGATAGCTCTGGATGCAAGTTACAGGCTTCCAATAATCACCGTATTTATGCATGAGTATTATTCCAAAACTATTTTTACAGGACAAAGGACAATTTGGTCTATCCATTGTTGCTATCAAAATGCCTAAGAATGGCAGTTGTTTCAAATAATGTTTTTAGCTTTGCAAAAGCCTTGCCTACATCCACTCAATTTTTTTGTTCCTTTCTTTAAATGAGAACTCTAAGGTTATTAGTGTGCTTTGCCAGGGTTTTCAATATATCCACTTACATGGGTTCTATTCCTAAAATTCTTTGCATCTCTTTCCTTGTCTTGCTGGGGGGTGGCATGTTCAAGATTACTCTTATTCTCACTAGATCAATTTGCATCCCATTTTCCAGATATTATTTCCCCCAAGTAGGTGAGTCTTTTTCATTCTAAATGTATATTACTGCTTTTTAAATTTCAGACTGTCTGTCTAGGCCCTCTATAGAGTTTGTTATACTATCTGATCAATTCTTCTTTTTACTTTAGCTTTTGCCAGAATATATTTATCCTCACAGCCAGAATCTCATCATATATTGTACTTTTCTATGAAATACTTCTGGAGCACATTTTAGAGCAAACAGAACCATAAGATAGAAAAGAATATATGTAGCTCAGTGTTGCATGGTGGGGTCCTGGGGATTCTCTGAGCTGTGACAGGGCAAGCTACTGTATATAAACAGAGAACAAACCCCACTCCCTTCTAGCACTGAAGATGTTACCTAGCCGGGTAACAAAATGTCTGCAAGAAAACAACCAAGCTCAGAGAACCCCAGAGACTCCAGAACCATAAGAAAATATTACCTTACAAAGGGTGTATTAAAGATCATGGCTTTGACCCATTTTAATATACAGGAATCTACCCAAAGCCTAAGGTTGCATCCAGAACTGAAAAAATACTTTCCATGAATATTTCCATAAAAATACCCTTGTGGGCAGTGAGAAATGCTATCTTTTTGCATATTAAATTCATTTATTCCTAAGCATAGTATGAATGGTGTTCTTTTTACCTGTTACGACAAATGAATGTATTCTGTCAGTGAATTCTTCACCTTGTCAATATTTTTCCAAGTAACTGTTTAGTTCCAGCTTTGCTTAATCTGCACATTTAATAAGAATCACCTCTATGCTCACATGTCATTTATGAAAATGACAGAATCTATTCCACTTGAGATCTTTTGGCAGGTTGATCCAAAGCCACCTAAAACTAATTTTGTTTTGCCCACATTTTACCATGTTGTCAATAAGGATTTCATGGAAGACCTTGTTGAAGGCCTTATAGAAAGCTCTGAGTGTAGCAGACAGGACTGTATTGGAAATCAATAGGAGTTAGCAGTTTAGCAAGTTGTGGAAATCCTTAGAATGGATTCATTTAGTGGGTCATCCAAATACCTGGAAAAGTGGATATTTCTACATCAAAATGGGAGACTGGGCTATTTGTATGGGAGTATGGGCACTCATTCATGCTGGTTGTACGAAAAGAAAGGGCAGGTCTATGTGAAAGTGAACAGATGTGGCAGGATCAAAAACTAAATTGTGGACAACAAATCACAAATATGTTAGAGTCTACAGGTTTACACTCAAGGTAATTTTACAGATTGCACGCCCTATAATTTGTTTTTAACACCTGTTATTATCAAGGTGATAACAATGGCAAAGCTCGCTTTGGATACTCAAGTAACATCAATAGCTTGTAGAGTCTGCTATCATCTGGGCTTATACATCAACTGGGTCTCCTCTTATTTTACTCATCGATACACTAGTAATATCTAGGCTAGATTATTGCTATATATTATCGTTTTAAGACTGTTCAGAAACTGCAGTTGGTCGAAAATGTGGCAGTAATGCTAATAGGATTTGTTTGCATTGGAGCTACTAGTCTGGTCTGCAAAAATCTGGATGATAGTTAGATAGTAGCAAAGAAAGTAGTTCTTCAGATTTTTGCAGCCCAGATCAGGTAGCTCTAGTTTCATGGATCATAAATATACCAATACTTCAAATATTTTTGTTGCTACTGGTCTGCTTTTAAATCCAATTAAACTCTGTTTCAAACAGTATAATGGATTTCACTGGTAGAACTTTTTTTCTTTTCTTCCCTGAAGACACACATATGGATCAGGAGACCCTTGGGAGCTTATTTGGAGTGTATGTTGAGATTGCACAGGGAATGAGAGGAATTGTATTTCCAGATTGGTGAACATAAATCCATCATGTAAAGTTGGATGGAATCTAATCTCATATTTAAACATCTAAATGAGATATAATTTGTAGCCACGAGAATTTGCTGAGCTTGCATGTCCAGTGAAAAGGTATGTTGGGGAATGCAGTTTGAGAACATTTTCACACTAAATGGTTTGGGACCAGAAGGCACTTACCCATGTTACATTATTTGTCCTTCTTTGGGTAGTTCTGCCATTTGAGGCTTGGCAGAGCATTAGAGAAATAATATTTTGTATTGTTGTTGTTTAGTCGTTAAGTCGTGC